CAATGCTGTAGAGCCTAAGACCATCAGAAAACACAGATATTTACATTACAATTCATAACAATAGCAAAATTACAGTTATGAAGTAGCAATGAAAATAATTTTATGGTTGGGGTCACCACAACATGAGGAACTGTGTTGCAGCATTAAAAAGGTTGAGAACCACTGTTATGGGGGAAGCCAGGGAAAACTTAACTGTAATATTCAAGTTCCACTGAGGCTCCATTCCCATCTGCTTTTATTTACTAGAATACACAATTGCCTTTTAGGGATACAAACAGATATATCAATGGTAATGTTTAGTAAACAATAAGATTATCAGGTTGTGGGGAGTTTGCTTTAGGCCATTGAGTCAGCAGTAAGTAATAAAATTCAGCTTTCTGAAAGGACTTCTTGCATTTATATTAATTACTGTTGATTTTGGTTCTCAGCATAAAGGAATCTATCTAACAAGATATATGCACCATCTATAGGATATATATGAATAAAACTTGTGGAGGACTTTAAGGGAGAGATCAACAGAAATAGTCATAGTAGGGGATTTTAACAGCCCACTGACTTCACTGGATAGATCTTCCAGACAAAAAAAAAATTAACAGGGAAACAGTGACTCTATATAACACACTAGATTCAATGGATTTATTGATGTTTATAGAATATTTCATGCAAAGCTTCAGAATAAACAGCTTTCTTCTCAAAGGCATAAGTATCAGTCTCAAAGACAGACAACATGTTAGGACACAAAACAACTCTCTACACATTCAAAAATATTGAAATAATATAAGCAATTTCTTAGATCACAATAGAATGAAATTAGAAATCAATCACAGTAAAACATTCAAAAACATCAAGTTTAAATAGCATGTTATTAAACAATGAATGGGTTACCAATAAGGTCAAGAAAGAAATAAAAGATATTCTCAATACAAATGAAAATGAACACACAATAACCAACATCTCTTTTCTAGGACACAACAAAAGCAATATTGAGAGGGTAGTTCATAGCACTATAGGCCAAACTAAAAAAAAAAAAAAAAAAAAAAAAAAAGCTTTTTAAAAACAATAACAAACTACTTAACCCTACTGTACAACTTAAAGAATTAGGAAGAGAAAAACAAAAAAAGTCCAGAGTAAGTAGAAGGAAGGAAATAATAAAGATAAGAAAAGAGCCCAGTTGGCTTGGCTTAGTGATTGAGTGTTGACCTATGAATCAGGAGGTCACAGTTCAATTCCCAGTCACAAACATACCTGAATTTCAGGATTTATCCCTGGTGTGGGGTGTGTGGGAGGTGACCTATCAATGGTTCTCTCTCATTATTGATATTTCTATCTCTCTCTCCTCTCTCCCTCTCTGAAATCAATAAAAAATATGTGATTTTTTACAGAGAGGAAGGGAGAGAGATAGAGAGCTAGAAACGTCGATGAGAGAAAAACAGCTGCCTCTTGCACAACCTTGGGTGCCCACAACCAATGTGCATGCCCTTGACTGGAATTGAACCCGGGACCTTTTAGTCTGCAGACCGACGCTCTACCACTGAGCCAAACCGGTTTTGGCTAAAAAATTAAAAAATTAAAAAATTAAAAAAAAAAAGAATAGAAAAGATAGGGTAGTAAAGACCAGGAGGGAGTAGCTAGGGTTGAAAGGGTAGAAATGGGAGATATCTATAATACTATCAACAGTAAAAAAAAATATTTTTAAAAATATGACAGCAGAAATAAATGACGTAGAGACTAAAAAGCATCAATGAAACCAAGATCTGATTCTTTGAAAAGATAAGATTAATGAACAAGCCAGACTCATAAGCAACAAAGAGAGAGGACCCATATAAATAAAATAAGAATGAAAAACAGTAAAGTAACATCTGACATGTAAGAAAATACTATAAACTACTATCTATCAACAAGCTGGATAGTGTTGATGAAATGGAAAAATTCCTAGAAAAATACAATCTTTCAAAACTTACTCAGGAAGAATCAGAAAACTTGAATAGGCTAATAACAACTACCGTGTTTCCCCAAAAATAAGACATCCTCCAAAAATAAGACCTATCGCATGGAATGATAAGACATCCCCTGAAAATAAGACCTAGCGCAACTTTGGGAGAAAAAAATTAATATAAGACACTGTCTTATTTTCGGGGAAACAGTGTAATAGAATTGAAGCAGTAATAAAAAAAACTCCCAACAAATAAAAATCCTAGCCCACACAGCTTCACAAAGGAGTATTACTATAAATACTCAAAGAAGAGCCAACACTCCAAAATCCAAGAGGAAGGAACCTCCAAGCTCTTTCTGTGATGCCAGCATTATCCTAATTGCAAAACCAGATAAAGACACTAAAAAGAAAGAGAATGACAGGCCAATATCCCTGATGAATACAGATCCTAAAATCCTCAACAAAATATTGTATTAGCAAGTCGAATCCAGCAATATTTAAAAAGATCATACACTATGTACAAGTAGGATTTATTCTGGAGATGCTAGGTTGTTACAATATTCGCAAATCAATAAATGTGATACATCCAATAAACAAACTGAAAGAAAAAATATTATATGATCACATCAATAAATGCAGAAAAAGCATTTAACAAAACCCAATACCCTTTTTTTATATAAAAACTCTCAGCTAAGTAGGAATAAGAGGATCATACCTCAACATAAAAAAGGCCTTTTATGACAACATACAGGCAACATTATAGTCAACTACTTCCTCTAAAAATAGGAACAAGAAAGGAATATCTGCTTTCACCACTCTTATTCAACATAGTACAGGAAGTCCTAGCCAGATAGATCAGACAAAGAAAGAAAAACAAAGGCATCCAAATTGGAAAGGAGTTGTAAAACTGTTATTATTCACAGATGACAAGATATTGTATATAAAAAAAACCTATAGACTCCATTAAAAAACTAGATTTAATGGATGAATTTGGCAATGTAACAGGATACAAAATTAACACCCAGAAATTTAAGGCATTTTTATACACCAATAACAAATTCTCAGAAAGAGAAACTAATAATCCCATTTACCACTGAAAAAAAAATTAACATACTTAGGAATAAACTTCACAAAGGAGGTAAAAGACTTGTTCTCTGAAAACTACAGAACTTTGAAAAAAGAGACAGAGGAAGATATAAACAAGTGGAAGAATATACCGTGTTCATGGATTGGTAGAGTTAACATTATTAAAATGTCCATAGTATCCAAAGCAATCTATAGATTCAATGGAACCCCCATCAAAATACCAACAGCTTATCTCACGGACCTAGAAAAAAACATTCCAAAAATTTATGTGGAACCAGAAAATACCCCAAAAAACCACAGCAATCTTGAGAAAGAGGAACAAACTGGGAGAGATCATAAAACCAGATACCAAGTAATATTACAAAGCCATTGTAATTAAAACAGGCCAGTACTGACACAATAGGCATATAGATCAATGGGACAGAACAGAGAACATAGACATCGACCCAAGCCATTATTCTCAATTAGTATCTGACAAAGGAGGAAAGAGCATACAATGGAGTCAAGACAGTCTCTTCAATAAATGATCTTGGGGAAATTGGATAGATACATGCAAAAAAAAAAAAAAAAAATGAAACTAAACTACCAACTTACACCATACAGAAAAATAAACTCAAAATAGATAAAAGACTTAAAACATAAGTCGGAAAACCATAAAAATCCTAGAAGAAACCATAGGGAGTTTAATCTCAGACATCTCTAATAGCAATATGTTTGCAGATACATGTTCTAGGGCAAGGGAAATAAAACAGAAAAAAAAAATGTGAATACAATAAAATAAAATGCTTCTGCACAGCAAAACAAACCATCAACAAAATGAAAAGAAATCCTCTTTGCCAATGATACATCTCATAAAGGGTTAATATTCAAATTATATAAGAAAATCATATAACTTAACAAAAGGAGAACAAACATGCCATTTTAAAAAATGGGCAAAGGACCTAAATTTACACTTCTCCAAAGTGGTCATACAGATGGCCAAGGGACATATGAAAAAATGCTCCAATTCATTTATCATGGGAGAAATGCAAATTTAAATGACAATCGTATCACCTCACACCTATCAGAATGGCTACCATCAACAAATCAACAAATGACAAGTGCTGGTGAGGATATGGAGAAGAGTGAACCCTATTACACTGCTGGTAGGCATGCAGACTGATGCAGCCATTATAGAAAAAGGTATGGCATTTCCTCAAAAAATTAAATATGGAACTGACATTTGACCAAGTGATCGCACTTCTAGGAATATATCTTAGCAAACTGGAAACACCAATCAGAAAGAATGTATTCACCTCTATGTTCATAGCAGTGCAATTTACAATAGCTAAGATCTGGAAACAGCCCAAGTGTCCATCAGTAGATGAGTAAATAAAAAAGCTGTGGTATATTTACATCATGGTATACCACGCAACAGTAAAAAAAAAAAAAAGGAGACAGCATAGAGGGACCTGAAGAGGATTAGGCCAAGTGAAATAAGTCAGTCAAAGAAAGATAGGTACCATATGATTTCACTCATATGTGAAATCTAATGAACAAAATAAACTGATGAACAAAATAGATCAAAGATACAGAGAAGCATGGAAAAGACTGTCAAATCTCATAGGGTAAGCGAGGGTAGGTGGGAAGATATCAACCAAAGAAATTGTATCTATATATGCAAAAATCCATGGACACAGACAATAGGATGGTAAAGGCCTGGGGTGAGCTAAAAGGGGTCATTGAGGAAAAAAGGGGGACATATGTAATATTTTCAAAAATAAAGATTTAAAAACGAATAAAGAAAATAGACTAATAATGCTTCTGGATAATCACAGTCAAGTCAAATAACCAATATAACATTAAATATTTTATTATTAATTAGTGTTAATAGTTAATAATTTAAATGTTTATTAATATTGTTGGCTTATTTATATTATTATTAATATTATTAAAATAGTAAGGAATATTTTATACTTGATAGTTTACACAGAATACATACATGACTCTCCTCTTTAACTGCTCCTTCTAATTGAGTTGCAAATTGTGAACAACATACCAAGAATGAATTTAGATCATCCCCAACCTTTGAAAAGAATAACAGAAAGTTGCTTTTATTTTAGAACCTGTATGCATATTCATCTGTATTTTAATATATTTAACTAGTTTTAAAAATAACTTTGTGTATGTAATTTATGTTAATTCAAACATATTAGGCTCCAAATGCTATACTAGCAGATGCTCCCAGAAAATTTACAAGTACATTCCCAGTTATGTCTCTGCTCTCATTTTCATCTATATAGTTGCAGAAAATCAAGCAAACCAGCCTTATACTCCTGAAATATTATGAATGGCCAAAAAAGTAAGTACTATGGGTATACCTTATAAATATCTTTGTGTTTAAAAATGAATGCTAATTATGACTTCTGATTATAAAATACACAGAGGTGGGCAAAAGTAGATTTATAGTTGTTCATTTGGAAAAAATATAACAATAAATAATAATACAAGAATGAACTCTGTGTTTTATGTACTCACAACTGTAACTTATTTTTGCCTAACCGTGTGTGTGTGTGTGTGTGTGTGTGTGTGTGTTAAACTTTAAGGAAATGTGGTTGGCAGAGGATGAAAATATCAGTACTCTTATTTTCAAGTATCCTAAATGGATCATTTTTCATGGATAAGGAATTCATTCTGTAAAGATATGTAGATACAAAATAAAATCTTAGTTCTTTTCAATGTTCATTTCTCTACATTAGCATTTGCATATACTTACAGATAAAGATAATTCTTCAGGTTGAGACTTCACCAGTGGTTTTTCTACAGTTTCACTGGACATTCCATAGGTTTCTTCCAAAGAAGAAACAACCTATGAGAAAAAGCAAATTAACTACATTTACAGTTTAAAATTATTACTTTAAATCTAAAAAATATATTAAATCAACCATGTCAGGACCTTCTTAGCAATAAGACTATTTCTGCCTTGCCAGTGTATCTCAGCAGTTGAGGGTTGATTCAGAAACCAAAGAGATCCCTGGTTTGATTCCTGGTCAAGGCACATGTCCAGGATGCAGGCTCAATGCCCAGTGGGGGGCATGCAGGAGGCAGCCCATCGATAATGTTTCACTTTCATCAATGTTTCTATCTCTCTATCCCTCTCCCTTCCTCTCTCTCTAAAAATCAATAAAGAAAAAAAATTATTTCTGCCAGTACTCAACTTAAATTTTCCATTTTATGCCCCAGCTCATATCTTCATGAAGAAGTCATGAGCAAGTCTTTAACCTTACTTCCTAGCAAGAGAGGCCCTATGACTCTTCCATTTCTGTGTTGGCAGGTATTTAAAAAGAAGAGAGACTCCCTATTCATAGCTGAAGCATCAACTTTACTTTACCACCAAAGTATTCCTCAAAATTTAACTGACTCAACTTTCTCCTTTGGAGAGAGTAGGGAAAATAGAGAGATGGAAACCAGAAAGCTGTACATTTTTAAAGCAGCAATCGCTAACCTTTTGGATCTCATGGACCAACAGTAGTTTGCAGACCACCAGTTGGAAACCACTGTTTTAAAGGAAATTATCTGAGTTAACCCCTCAAACTTTGAGCAAACTTGTATTTTGGAAGCTTGACAAACTCTTATTTTTTTTATGTTTGTGCTATTCCTCATTTTTCAGTCTTTATACCAATAGTATTTGGTACATTTATAATTAAACTAGAGGCCCAGTGCACAAATTTGTGCACATTAAAAAGAAATTAATTAGAAGGTGGCCAGTGGAGTGGGACTGGGTGAGATAGGTTGGACATGCCCTGGAGCCAACTTCCCATGGTCCCTCCCTGGCAGGCTGCACCTGGGGCAGCACCAGGGCTTGAGGTGCATTAACAGAGTGAGCAGGGTCCCCCCTGCAGATAGGGATCCCTCAGCCAGGCCTGCAAGGATCAGGCAGAAACCAATAGTCTGACATCCCCTGAGAGGTCCTGGAGTGCAAGAGGGCACTCCATAATACAAAGTTGCTGTTGCTCAGCAGCTCCTGTATTGAGCATCTGCCCCCTCATGGTCAGTGCGTATTACAGTTACCATCCAGTCAGTGGGTTGGCCCATCACTTAGCCTTTTATAGATATAGATTCTGGATCATTGAGCAAAAAGAACCCCAGAGAAAGGGAGATTTATTTCCAAACACCAAGAGCCAAAGTTTCTAAAGTGCAGAGATGAGGTGACATAGCAGGCATGAGACTTCAAAAAAAACTACCCCTAAAAAAGATCTGTTTGCATCTCAGAACTTGGATTTCAGAAGGGTTCCCACCATTCACTATGGGTCCCTCCAATGTTTGTACAAATAATAATTTATGCTAACACCTGCTTTCCTCCAGGGAGTCTGGAATTTGATACATGATAAGCAGAGAGTATCTAGTTGATCAAGCCCCAAACATCAGCCTGGGCACTGAGTCTTCAATGAACTTCTCTTGTAGACATTTCATTTTTGTTGTTGGAGGAATTAAGATATGTTCTGTATGACTCCAAAGGAGAAGACTCTTGGGAGTTTGTACCTGGTTTCCTCTAGACTTCACCAATGTGCCTTCTTCCTTTGCTGGTTTTGCTTTGAATTCTTTCACTATAATAAATCTTAACGATCAATATGACTATATGCTGAACCCAGTGAGTCCACCCAGCAAATCACTAAACCCAGGGAAGGTCATGGGATCCTCCACACAGTAACAAACAAATGGCTTACCATCTTCAGATGTTTGGTAATTTTTCTGAGCAATTCATCTTCTGCTATTAATTCCTTGGTCTTACTTGATGGAATGGGCAAAGCATACCTCACAACGGATTCTCCTGTTGGTGGAGATCTTAAGACCATTGGCTCAAGTTTATCACGCACTAATTTTGAACTTTGTTTTTCCTTTGGTTTAGGTGACAATGGTGAATTAAGAAGTCCTTTGTTGTAACTTAATTCTGGAACACTTGACAACTTATTACTAGAGGGCAACTGATGCTTTACGGGCTTCATTTTGTTATTTACTTAACTTCCAAATTATAGGTGAAAAAATTGTATTCCTTCCTGAGAATAGAAGATAAAGATTTCAGATTAAAAATGATGGCAGGATTATTTATTGTCATGCAAATGTTAAATCCCCAAATCAACTCTGGAGAAATTAAAAAATTAAAATGGAAACATTCCTAACAAAAATTAATATTTTTAAAAATCTAAAATATTTCCAAATCAATAAACATGATACATTGCATAAAGAACTGAAAGAAAAAAATCATATGATCATATCAATAGATGCAGAAAAACATTCAACAAAATCCAATACCCATTTTTTATAAAAACTCTCAGCTAAGTGGGCATAGAGGATCTTCTGTCAACAAAATGAAGGCTACATATGACAAACCTACAACCAACATCAAACTAAATGGGAAAAACTGAAAACTACTCCCTCTAAAGTCAGGAACAAGTCAGGGATATCCATTTTCACCATTCTTATTCAACATAGTACAGGAAGTCCTTGCCAGAGCCATCAGGCAAGGAGAAAACATAAAAGGCATCAATATTGGAAAGGAGGAAATAATCCTATGATTATATGCAGATGACATGATACTGTACATAGAAAACCCTAAAGACACCACCAAAAGGTACTATATTTAACAAATGAATCAAGCAATGTAGCAGGATAGAAAATTAACACCCAGAAATCTAAGGCATTTTTATACATCAATAACAAATTCACAGAAAGAGAAACTAATAATCCCATTTAACACTGCTACAAAAAAAATAACATACTTAGGAATAAACTTCACAAAGGAAGTAAAAGACTTGTTCTCTGAAAACTACAGGATGTTGAAAAAAAGAGATGGAGGAAGATATAAATAAACGGAAGAATATACCATGTTCATGGATTGGTAGAGTTAACATAATTAAAATGTCCATACTGCTCTTCCACCATGCTGCCAGCATGAGTGGCACAGGGCCGATGCTAGCATGGAGATGGCTCTTTTGTTTATTGCATCGGACTCGGCTCCCTGGTGGTCCTTGGGGATCACGAATTCGTCTGGGATCCTCAGCCAGGACCATGAGGGACCCCGATCCGGAGAGCCTGACTGGCCGCGGTAGGTGTGTGTTTGTCGGTGTTTTTGTGTGAGCGCTCTGGAGGGACTGCCCCTCCATCAGGGCTCTTATCTGGGTGTTTGCCGGCTGCTGCGTCAGCCACAGTTTGAGCCTGGATTCGAATCTGTAATAAATTCTTGCTGGCTTAATAAATAAATAAATAAATAAATAAATAAATAAAATGTCCATACTACCCTAAGCAATCTATAGATTCAATGGAATCCCCATCAAAATAGTAATGGCATATTTAGGGAATCTAGAATAAACATACCAAAAATTTACGTGGAAAAAAAAAAGACCCCAAAAAGCCACAGCAATCTTGAGAAAGAGTAACAAAGTGGGAGATCACAATACCAGATATCAAGTTATATAATACTACAAAGCCACTATCATTAAAATAGCCCAGTACTGGCACAAGAACAGATATATAAATCAATGGAAGAGAACAGAGACCCCAGAAATTATGGATTCAAGCTGTCCAATTAATATTTGACAAAGTAGGAAAGACCATACCATAGAGTCAAGACAGTCTCTTCAATAAATGGTGTTGGGAACATTGGACAGATACATGCAAAAAAATTAAACTAGATCACCAACTTATACCACACACAGGAATAAATTCAAAATAAGTAAAAGACTTAAATGTTCATCATAAAACCATAAAAATCCTAGAAGAAACCATAGGCAGCAAAATCTCAGACATCTCTTACAACAGTATGTTTACAGATACATCTGTAAATACTTGATGGAATAGGCAAAGCATACCTCACAACGGATTCTCCTGTTGGTGGAGATCTTAAGACCATTGGCTCAAAGTTTATCACGCACTAATTTTGAACTTTGTTTTTCCTTTGGTTTAGATGACAATGGTGAATTTGCCATCTAAAAGGAAAAATTCTCCTAGGGCAAGGGAAACAAAAGAGAAAATGAAGAAATGAGACTATCAAAATAAAAAGCTTCTGCACAGTAAAAGAAACCATCAACAAAATGAAAAGGGATCCCACTGAATGAGAAGACATATTTGCCAATGATATATCTGATAAAGGGTTAATAACCAAAATATATAAGCAACTCATAAAATTTAACAAAATGAGAATAATTCAATTAAAAAATGAGCAAAGGACTCAAATAGATACTTCTCCAAAGTGAACATACAGATAGCCAAGAGACATATAAAAAACTGCTCAAAGTCACTAATCTTCAGAGAGATGCAAATTAAAATGACAATGAGATATCATCTCACACCTCTTGTAATGATAAAATGAACAAATCAACAAATGACTAGTCCTGGTGAGGATGTGGAGAATCAGGAACCCTAGTACACTGCTGGTGTGAATGCAGACTGGTGCAGCCACTGTGGAAAATAGTATGGAGTTTCCTTCCAAAATTAAAAATGGAACCAACATTTGACCAAGTGATCCCACTTCTAAGAATATATCTTAAGAATTCCAGAACACCAATCAAAAAGAATGTATGTATCCCTATGTTCATAGCAGCGCAATTAACAATACCTGAAAACAGCCCAAATTTTCCATCACTAGATGAGTGAATAATAAACTGTGATACATTTATACCATGGAATACTATACAACAGTAAAAAGAAAGATCTCTTACCCTTTGAGACAGCATGGATGGACCTGGAAAGGATTATGCTAAGTGAAATAAGCCAGTCAAAGAAAGACAAGTATGAATCTAATGAACAAAATAGATCCGGGGAAACAGAAGAAAGAGACCAAACTGTCAAATCTCATAGGGAAGGTGGGGTGAGTGGAAAGATATTAACTAAAGAATTTGTATGCAAATAAGCATAACCTATGGACACAGACAATAGTGTGGTAAAGGGCAGGGGCAGAGAGTGTTATGGGCTAGAAGGAATCAATGGGGCTGGGATAGGGACATCTGTAATACCTTCAACAACATTTTAAAACTTTAATTAAATTTTTTTTAAAATACCTGTAAGAAACCCTGAGATGTGTCTGAAAATTGATTTATGTATAGGCACTAAGGATGGGGGCTCATGGGAGGGAAGAAGCCAGTAGTAGCAGTGATAGAATATATTTAGAAAACTTGAAAATGTTATTCTTAGCTTTCCCCCATTTTTAGTTAATGCATACCCTTTATATTAGTCCTATAGAAGTAATATGTTAGGCCCAGGGTATGATGAGATTAATATCAAGGCAGCCCAAAATCATGATTGAGCAGTCCTCAAGACTCTAACTCTACTTCTCTTTCTCTCTAAAGCTTATTGTTTAAGACTCAGGATAATATGTCCTCCCAAAGGGTTTTGTTGTTTTTTAGGCGAAGGGGAGAAACGAGTCAGCCCTCAGCCCCTCTGGATAAGTGTCTGAGTCTGCCGCTACCCAACCAGGTTCAATCCCAGCCCGAGGCCTGAAAGCCCTCACAGGTTGGAGAGAAGGCAGGAGATATTTGTCACTGAGGAAAATGGAAGCTAACGCTGCCATGGCGCCAAGGTTTCTCCCCACCCCCTCCCTCACCACCACCCCAGGGATGGCAGTAAGGACTGGACAATCCTCCCAAGGAGTTTTAAAGTATGTACCTGACCATGGGAGTAGAGTCAAAATTTAGACCAGTCCCATTGTTGTGGGTTGAATTGTCTCCCCAAAAAGATATGTTCAAGTCCTAACTCTTGGCACCTGTGACTATGACTACATTTAAAACTACAGTCTCTGCAGATGTAATCAAGTTAGCATGTGGTCATACTGGATTAAGATGAGCCAAAAATCCAATGACTGTTGACATATTCAGAAAGAAATGTGAAGACACATGCATAAAAACAAACAGAGAAGAAGGATGACAATCGCAGGAACTGGAGTGGCACAGCTGTGAGCCAAGGAATGTTAAGGATTGCCAGGGTCCACCAGAAACTATTATAGGAAGAAGCAGGGGATGATAGCACTGCCAATACCTTGATTTCAGAATTCTGTTCTCTGGAAGTGTGAGAGAATAAATTCATACTGTCTTAAGCCACCATTTGTGGTACTTTGTCATGCCAGCCTTAGGACATTAATACATATGCTCATGAAAATAACTAAACAGAAAGGAAAATGTATGCGTGGTAGAGAGGAAAAGTGCTGGACTGATACCTTGAGCGAACAAGAAGAAATGGGCTACTTCCAGAAACCAGTAAGGGAAGAATGGGACACTCCCCTGGTGCTAGAAAACCACCTCAAAATGAATCCATGAAGTTCACAAGTTACCTGCGGTGAATGCTTGTATTTACTTCATTTAAACCCTCCTAACAATTCTAGGAGGTTGACATTATATCACCATAAACTATCCCGATTTTATCAATCACTTTCCACCACAAAGACAAATGTTTTCTAGCTTTCCCTCAGGATTGATATTCCTTTCAAACCGCAATGACCCAGCATACAGAGTCAGGGGCGGGGTGGGATGGGTGGGGTTAGAAAAGTATGATTTGCCTGAGATTCTGAAGCAAAATTAGAACCATCGCCACTGAGGCAGACACGCAGCGCTAAATGAATGGGAGGGAAATAAGGGTGTTTTTGCCAAAGAATCTAATGAAAACCCTCCCAAGTTGATGAAGGAGGTGGCTCACCAGTCTTCCCCTTGCTGAGGCCGTGGAGAGGTTACTGGTGGCTCTGCGTTGACCGAGGGGCTCTAAGGTGACCCAGCTGGAAATCCTGAGCAGCCCAGGTTTCCTTCCAGATGGAAGCCCCCAAACCCTCCAGGCTCCAGCCCTGCTATTTTACAAACTGACATTGATGCTGACAGCAAAGGCCCAGCCTTTGCGCCCAGGGCGGCAGCAATCACCGCAGGGCGCCAACGGCCAGGTCAGGCGCCCTTTAGGCCAGTCAGGCCGTTGGCGCCACGTCACAGCTAACGCCACGTCACAGCTAACGCCGGACGTGGGACCCCGGCCACCGGAAGGACGCCTCCAGCCGGCCTTCCGGGCGGGAGGGACG